CCTCTCCTCTCCTCTCCTCTAAATTACCGGTGATGTAACCTTTCGCTTTCTTATCGAACGTAAAGGCTCGGTCTCACCGAAAGTAAGACGAGAAGTTTTAAACATTTTTCTGTTTTCCTTCCTACGCTGTATTGCTATAGTATTAGGGACGAAAACTGTACTACAATACAGGGAGTAAAAGTATTGGAATTACTTCAATATAGCGATAACGAATTTTCGGTTGAAAAATCGGTTTTTAAAGTTCTTTTGATTTACAACTTCTAACAAGTACAGCATTGCGTTCTGTTACCGATATTCCAGAGATGGTTAAAATGGCGGCGACAAGTGGCGAGGAGGTAGATGCAATTTTGTATCCGAAAATGGATTTTGGATGGAAGTATGTGAGTGCCACGCATAACTCTTAACAAATTAGAAACACTTGAGGTGAAACGGTAAATATTTCAGAAGTAAGATCTAGTTATGGTGTTCCGGATATAACTAAGATATTTTAAATTTTAGCGGTATTTTTCATCAATCCTCTGCAACATTTGTTTTTAATGGCCGCAATTTTTTATTTAAATTATTTCCACGAAAGTGCGTTTAGGAAAGTGGTATAATTCTATTTTTATTAAATCTCTGTAATTTGGGAAACTGCAAAGGTTCAATTTTTTTGCCGCACCTAACCAACTCCTTCGAATTATTGTCAGAGATGTCTTTTTCAATGCAATTTATCTCTCAGTTTTAGAAATATAAAATATTCAGTAAAATGTTGAGTAATAACTGGATTATACTAATTGTAATTGACAATAGAACCATAATTTGAGATCTTAGTGGAGAAAACGTTTCAGTATGAAGCGCATTACCATTAGGTTAAATAATGATCTTCTATCTTTAACAAATTCTGAGTATATATTAGTATATGTCTAGACGTTATCAATTTAATACATTATTCTTTAAAGAAGTACACAGTTTCTAAAAACCTTATTTGAATAAAACTACTTTTATTTTCAAAAAATTTATTTTTTTTAAAAAAATAACATTTTGTATTATAGTTTATACATGCCTCTCAATAATAAGTATGAAAGTATCGTTTGTCACAATGATGGTCGTATTCTTGTTAGTAGGAGATAGTTTTGTTTCATTGCATGACAAATCTTATATTATCTGTTTATGAGCTAGCATTTTGTAAATGCAAACGAACTGTTTTGAAAAATTCTAATGTAATTATGCGTTTTACTTATCAGTTTATGCAATATTACAAAATATACTTTAGTCGTATGTTCAAGATTTGCTCGTATGTCCTATATTATCGTCGTTGCTTGTATGTTCGAAATTCGTATGGCCAATATTATTATAGTGTTTTCGCAGGAGCATGTAATTTACAATTTTGTCTTTATTCTCGTAATTTTCTGGCTGTAGGAACAAGTATTACTTATTTCCAACAGAGCCATATATAGTAAATGCTTATCTCAATACATTTAGTGGATAAATGAAAATTGTAAGATGTTGACCGTTATTCAATTTTGAAAGTTATTGAATTATTACGATACATTCATTATTATTATTATTATTATTATAATTAAAATTCATTCATTTTTGTAGCAAATACATTGTAGTTTATTGTAACATATTGTTCATCACATGCATACTGTTCATCATTATTTTTAATAAAAATATAAAAAGCATATATATTTAGAAATAGAACCCAAATGAAAATGTGTTTTTTTTATTTCAACATGATCTTCATACGTTGATTGATAGAGATTTACAAATTCATGTTACTGTCAATATTTTTATATAACCGGCTAGAAAATAATTGTTCTATTTTCGTCCAATGAGTACATGAAGAAGCGGTCATGCTTTATGAAGAGGCGCTATGTCAAGAAATCCTGGAGCTTCTGGCATAGCAAAAATCTTCATAACTTGGACATGCGTACGCAGTTCAAACACCTGAGTCTTTCTTGGCGGCCGTTGCTCCGGATATGATTTCAATCAACTCCGTCGTGATCGCTGCCTGTCGCGTTTTGTTGAGAACCATCGTCAGCTCGTTGATCATGTTGCCGGCTGTCTTGCTGGCTTGGTCCATCGCGTTCACTCGAGACGATTGCTCGCTGGCAGCCCCCTCCTTCAACGCATAAAACACAAGGGACGTGACTGAAAATTCCACGTAACTTTGCAGGAGATCGTCGTCTAGAGAATCGTACACTCGCAACCCAGGAGCCGCGTTTAGAGTGCGCAAAGTGAACACAGACACAACACTGGTTAAATAAGAAACCACAGATTTTGACTCGTTGAAAATTATTTTGCCCGAAGTATATTTGTAAGGAGTTGTGAATAGTATATTTGATATTCTTGATGCATCAAGAAATGTCGGAGGTTTGCGACCAATTTGGTCAGCAACGCCCAGAAAACTTTTACCGTACTGCCCTTGCAGTAAACTCCGAGATTTTGCTCCCACGCAAACTATTTTGGAATTTTCTGGACGTTTCGCAAACTCCTCCTTGATTTTAGTGGAGACATTTTTGTGAAGGGCGCCACATAATCCTCTGTCAGACGTAATAGCAATCAACAGTGTCTGTTCCTGCGGATCTTTTAGGTCAAGTTTGTCGTAAAACACTTTGGTGCTGGTTCCATAAGGTCGGGCCACAAGGAGATCTTTCTTTGCTTTTGCGTACTTGGCCACCGACACTACTTTCATAGTTTTCACAATCTTTTGTATATTCTTCATTGATTTCACTCGAAGGGAAATCATCTTCACAGTAGACATTTTTCTTGTGGATGATCTGATGGACAAACTAATGCTGCTAATAACCCAGAGTTTTGTAATTTTAGAATTACAAGCACAAAATAAAACTCACCACCCTCCTTCAGACATCAAACCGGTGCCATGATAAACACAGTCCTTGGCCACGTAGCGCTGCAACGAAATACTACGATTGATGTCTGCCACGCGCTACTGCATAGCAACAAATTATATTGAATGTTTCCATGGTTTCAGAATTATAGGTGAATTCTAGAAATTATGGAATGCTGCCATTGACCAAGACAGAACTCAGTTCACTTCAATTCAGTTCAATGAATGCCTTATTATCCGTGGCGAAGCTCAGGCCATGAGACCTGCTCATCCGCCTGACCAAGCAAATTTCGCTTGATTCCTTTCACCGGCCAGCAGAGAAAGGAGTTTGTATCACTTGGGCGACGAAACTGGCGACTTTTAATTTTGCTCAGAGGCGTCTTTTAGGTTTGATTGTTTACATGCTGTAAATCTACAAGGTGCGACAGAATTGAAATTGGTCTTTCAAAATTATTATTATTGGCCGATCAATGGAGAGTTAAAATTAATGCTGATGTCAAGGAACGATTTTTTCTCTTCTAGTAACTTGAGTTCCTCCAAAATTGATAATCTAAAATAATACAATCCCGTGAAATAATGGCACAGTTAAATATCTCGGTGTACAATTTAGTAGACGTCTTAGATGGAAACTCCATATTCTATCGCTAAAATAGCTAAACCCCTTCGTAAATAGATAATTATCTTTAAGAACACAACGTCAACTACTGATTTTTAAAACTACAATCCTACCGTATCATACTTATGCATGCCCAGTCTGGGTAATCTAACAGTACATCAACTCCAGGTACTACAAAACACATGCTTTCGAAAAATAATTCCATGCCCCATGTTCCAAGTTCCATGGTATACTCAGAATTCACAAAATCACAGAGAACTGCAAGTAAATGTAATTAAAAATCATATTTACACAACTGCGATTATATAATATAATATTTATATATAATATTTATTTGGGTACAATTGTCTGATTACCAGGTGGTAGCCATAACCCTATAGTTTTACAATATATGAACATTTATAATTCAAAAACAATTTACAATACACTCCTTTCGAGCGTATACACTCAATATATAAACATACACAGACCTGTATACATCTATGGCACATATATACACCCATATACACACACACATTAAATATATATATATATATATATATATATATATATATATATATATATATATATATATATATATATATGCATACATACACACATACATACATACATATACATTCTTATACATGAATGCTCACTCTCACGTTCACACATAACGCGAACTCACACACACACACACTTGCCCTACATATTATAGATGCCTACATTTAAATGAAGTACATATATTTAGTTACACCTAGTAAACATGCACATATATACATATGCATAAAATTAACCAGTTACACAATTTGTTTTTTAAATGTAAACACAATGTGGATTTTTAAAGTTAGCTCTTTAAGCATTTAGATTTACTCCCCACCTACTGTCGCACTTCACTTCACTTCACTTCACTACACTACACTACACTACACTACACTACATCTTTCTTTGGTTATGCCAAATAACTAATTAAAGTAGCTTTCCACTGCACTGCACTGCACTACACTACACTACACTACACTTTATCTATAATAATCTACAAATTGTGTATTCTGAGCTGTGCGGTAAAATACATCCTCTACAAGTACTTATTAAGTTGTCTTCTAAAAACACCAACTGAGCCAGGAAAAGGCTCTACGACCGCTGCAGGGATTTCATTTCAATTTTTAACCATACGATTTGCAAATGAATATTTCCCTACGTCGGATCTCTGACATCTCTGACAGATTAATTTTTATTCTGCATTTAATTCCTTTCCTTGCAACAAAACTTTTAATTGTGGTCGTAATTCTGTACTTTTCTGGATAAAATCAAAATTTCCAAAAGACAATTTTCGCACCTCCCCTAAATGAACATTAAAATTAAATACAAAACTGACTACACCACGACCACAAGAATTATTTTAAATATTTCTATATATATTTAATTATTGTATATATTTAAAAATATAAAAAATAAAGAATTAAGAATAAAATTAAAAATATACAAAAATCTGTTTAAGAAACACGATAAAGATGTCAATATATTTGTGATATATCCTAAAAAATCCCAAAAATTCTAAAAAATCCAAAAAAATACTTATTAAAATTATTCAATGTCTTGAAAGGCTATACGAAGACTACAAGAAAAAATAAAATGAAAACAATGGTATGTTTCTTTTCTTATGTTTACAACTTATTTTAATACTAGTGAACCCGGCAATGCTTCGATATTGCAGTGGATTACACGTCACACACTACTGGACACGTGATTGTTAATCACATTTTACCCTCGCTGTACAAAAATTCTAATAGTTGAAAGACTTTCTCGCAAGTATGATCTTGTTCAATTTGCTGGTTTGAACATAATTGTCAAGTAAGCTATTGTTAAAACTTTCTCCCACAAAAATTAGGGCATACGTTCACTATGACACTATCTTGGAGAAATTTGATTTACTTGTCCGAGATTTCAGGTAATAATTTCGGCCGACATTTCACAATAGCAGGGGCAGAATACTAGTATGCAATGCAAACAAAACGAAATTCCTAAGAGGTGAAACTGTCAAAGTTTTCTCCTTTCTTATCCCACATCTCTTCTGCATCAAGAAAACAAAAGTGTCTGCCTTTCGGCCGAGAAGGAGGAGCTCGTGATTTGAACTGCCTTCTGGACACGTCATTTTCAATAAACCAACGCACCACTGCTGCGAATCTCTGCGCCGTTACTCAAACCATGTCTAACACTGGCCAAAGGCTGGCGCAGGAAATAATCCTCAAATTTATTTGATTGATTGATTCCTGGCGTGTCAACAGCTAAGGTAATTAGTCCTGTAAGTGTAGTGTATGTTTTTTCCTCGCTGTATTGTGAGATCTGTCCCCGGTCTACCGTCGGCTACCAGGGTTTCCCTCAGACAGGTAATATCTACCACAGGTATCTAGCACCGTCCCAACTGGGACAAGCTCTAAGCTCCCGGCATGTGTGTTAGTGTAGTTCATGTAAGTGTAGGCGTGTGATAGGTGAAGATAGGACAAGTAATGGGGAGGAAAGATTGCGCGCTGACCGTAGCCCGTTTGTTAGAGTACTTCTCCGTCATTCGCCTGGCATTCATCGGAGAAAGTACAGAACACTATACCGGTCAGAGCAAGCAGTCTCCGGAATTCTCCTCCAGACAGCAAGTGAACTCGACGTAGCTGGTGTCGAAAATTCTGCCACCATCGGGACTCGAACCGTGGGACCTCCCGGTCAGAGGCACTACAGCCGATATCCTCAGCCACCTCTCCCGGCCCTGCAGCCCAGGCAGCGCCTCCAGAGCATCTTGTGTTTCTCGCCTTGCGGCAGAGCGCCGGCCGGCCGCCTGGCCTCCAAAGGGGGCGGGGGGGGCGGCCGAGCGTCGCGAGCATTCATCACAGGGCGGCGGCAGCAGCCGCCCCCCCCGCCCCCGCCCCGCCCCGCCCCGCCCCCGCCCTAATGAGCGCGTTCGGCCGCCCCCGCCCCACGGCGCCATTCGCGTCCGCAATGATACCATTTTTACTTTCTCGCCCTTTGCATGGTACTTCGAAAGAAGAAAATGTGATGTAATCTTGCGCCAGAAAATGGCGAATCTTCTGCAGAAAAACTCTTGTTGTCGGGCCCTGGTAACAAGAAAGTGGAACAATTCTGTTGCTAAATATAATGGCCATGATTTGTGGGTCCTGGATAACGAAAAAAAGATTGACGGCGAAACATCTGGGTATCCGTCTGTGAACAACACTGAGGCCTAAATCGTTCAGCCGATTTCCTTCACAATTGATACATCCTATTTGATCTAAATGAACTCAAATCTTTGGAAGTTTCAAAAGGATATTTTGATTTTTGAGGGTACTTTAGAACACGCCTGAAAATACTCAAAATTTTCTCCAAAACGGCACTAAATTTGCTGATTAAACTTTGCCTTCGGATAGCATAAATAACACCTAAGAGAATAGTACATGTCTTACGTTGTTTAAAGTCTCAGATTTTTTGGAAATTGCAGAAGTGCAATTTTTTGGCGTCTTCCAACAATTATAATAGTGAAGATTTTTCGTTGATTGTGTGTGTTCCTTAAATATGGATCTTTAAATAGGTTCATGTTCACGTTTTCTAAGATATTAATAGTTTTCGTGTAATTTGGCGCGAAATACAGGCTATTAAATATCTTTTCTCAGAAACCGGTCCAAATTTATTGTTTACCTTTTTTCATTATAAGAAGAAATGCTTTAAAGAATAGCGCGGGCCTCTCTTGTTGAACTCATTGAATTTTCAAAAATGGCAAATTTAGAAACTTCAATATGGTCATGGCTCCCGCCTCATCGCGCTTTAACCTCTCCGCATCTCAGCTCTCGCCTCTGCCCCAACTCCCGTCCTCATTGCCCAATTGTGTATTTGACAGGTCCCCTAAAGCTGTTCCGGGTTCATATTTCATCACTTTGTGCACAACTTTCATGGTTTTATCTGTGCTGAGAAATGCTTTCTGTCTAAACAATGGTAATCAAGTTTGTGGTACTACTGAAATTTAAATCAGATTAGAACTCTTTCAAGAGAGACCTGGTGTGTGTTTATAATAACACCGAATTAGTTTAGTGGACTGATCAAATGGATCAAAACATCACAGCAAAATATAGTAAAGCAAAAAAAGTAACATCACAAAAGAATGAATCATCTCTGTCGGATGGGAACTCTTCAAGGAACAGCTGATCGAAAGAAAAGACAGGACAAGCATTCCTCGGCGCTTACAAAGTCTCAAAAAACAACTTGGGCTTCCTGAAGAAACCCAAAAACATCACAGCATTAGAGGTAAAGAAAGTAGATGGTACCACATTTGTAG